TGGATGCCGGTGGCTCAGGTGGCTTGTACACATCAAAATGTGTCTCCATGCCTTCCATTCGCATCTGCATATACAACTTTTCAAGCGCAGTTTCGCACACCTTTCCATTCTTGTGAGAATCAATATGGAAAAAGAGAGTCGAGGCTGCATCACCATCTTGCCATTGACGATCAATTTCGAGGGAAGCTAACTTTTCAAACGAGTGCTCGTCTGATTGAACGAACGTATTGCTTTCATTCCAAGTATTCGGTCCTTCATCTTTGCTACTCTTATTAGCGTCTATTTCAGTCGTCTTGTTTTTACCAACTTCTGTTAGCTTGTTATCATTTGCACCGTGCACAAAGTTGACAGCATACCATTCCACAGGCGTCAACTCGTCGGTATTGGCAAGTAATAAATGCTCTTCCGCATCAAGGTCGACATCATACACATTCAGAGGTGCTTCTAGCTCATTGGTATTTCCACAGTATTTCACCTCCTTTTCCACTTGCTGAGCCACCAGTGGAAGCTTTGCCAATGCCATATTGCTTGATACTCCACCACTGCTGGTTGTAGTTGAAGACCACCAGCTAGGTTTTTCAACTGTCCACCTCAGCGACATATCGGACGGCACCGCGAAAAGTTCTGGTGGACTCATTTCTCCAAATGCCTTTTCAGTAAGGGATGCCCCCACACGTAACAAAGACGCTTCGATGGTATTTTCGCAATGCATTCGGTAAACTGGAAGGGATTCAGCACCACCAACAGCCAATTTAGCCCAACTTGCTCGAAGTTTTGCATCACAGATGGCGTTCCAGTCACTATCTACGACAATAATGGCCTCACCTCCAAACACTGAGACTGCACGCTTTCCTGTCGATGTGGACAGACGAGTAGACACCAGCGCCACGCGTATCACTGGACGATCAGCAAAATGACACAGTGCACGACGCTGCATGGTAACGGATCCAGTCACGCGCACACAACTAATATTTAGTAAAGAGAGGTATAATTCCAAAATAGGTAGCATGGTGTTAAACTGGGAGTATATCACCACCTTTTTGCCCTCTTGGAGCGTCAATCGACGAAGTAAAGGCTCTAATGTCTCCAACTTCGCGGAACAACTCATAAGCAGGCGCAAATCTGCATGTCCTAGCTTGTCCATATCATTGACGATATCAACACAATTGCAGATCTCACGAAGGCGTAACAACAACTGCAGCCAAACACTAAGACGCTCTTCGCGACCACTAGAAGTATCCAGTGTAGAGACGAACCCATTCAACACATTTCGATACTGTGTTTTTTGTAATGAAGTTAATTGGCAGCTTACACTAATCTCTTCAATCTTGCCTAGCTCTGGCTCGACTTCGCTCCGCACACGTCGCAAAGAAAGACACGATAAAGCAAAAAGTAATGCATTGATATACTTAGAACTTTCATCCTGAGAACATGATTTCCACAACGAGGTTCGGACATTCGATGATTTTCCATAGTGTTGTAACACTTCTACTACCGATGCTTTTTCCACTAGTAATTCCTGTACCGGCCACGATTGAATAGTAGGGTCACTACCTTTGATCTCATCATCGTCGTTTGAACAAGAAACTCCCTCGATCAAGAATTCAGCATACCGAAGCCTTAAAGCTGAGTTTGTCCAATTCTCAATTGATTGACTATTGCACAATACTCGCCGCTGCTGTTGTCGAAGTTGTTGTATTGCAGACACACATGTCAGATCATCAAATAGTTGATTGTGTTCATTTTCTATAATAACCATTTGCCAGTCTTTAAATGCTACAAATGCTTCTCGATCTTCAGCAAAGTCACTTACAGGACACAATACACAATAAACGGGTTCAATGCGTTCATCATCATCCAATTCCTCATCATCGTCATCGTCATTTGACACACTAATAATAAAATCGTCATTGTTCTTGCGCGCGTTTGCTCGAGGTTTAGTCTTCCACTCGCGCTGCAACTTTTCTCTATACGCTTGCGAATTACTCGCACCATCATAATGTTGAATTCGTCGACCTGGATGCCAAATCCGAAGAAAATACTGCCATTTGTGAAGCTCCTCTCCTGAAACAATAATTAAATGTGGACCTTTCAACTCAGACACAGATGCATCATCTGATTTCGACACGCCACCTTCTTTTCGATGTTGTTGCTGTTTTTGAGCGGTAATAATTTCAATCAAACTTAAAAATGCAACTATCGTAGTTGCTTTGCCCATTCCAAGTTGATCATTTAAAAACATATTGAGGCCACTGGAGTACAAATCCAGCATCCATCTCAATGCTACCAATTGAAAGGCAGCCAAAATGATAGCAGAACCTTTTTTCGCTTGTGATGCAGTACATCTTGCTTGCAAATCTCGAAATGCCGCCTCATGAAATGACCAGATCGAAGATTTACCACTATCCGTGGATGCTACAGACGAAGACGTCATCGCACTACGAGCTCTTTTACCTGCACTTACGATATAAGTCAAGCGAGACTTTGCTAATGCTATTGCTTCTGGTTTGTCTTCCCCCCTTCCTTCACTCTTGCTCGTATTAGTATCTCCAGTAAAAAACTTAAGCGTTAATGCAGACTCATCAGTACCACCCATATCTAGATCTTCGCTCTTATCTCGCTTGCCATCATCGTCTGCATTCTTACCGCGTGTTGAGGCTAACGTGTCACCAAAATACGATGAATCACTTCCTGCAGGTTCAAATCGTGCTCGTGATCTTGCAGCAATCCGTTCCATCGTACGCCAGAATGCAGATATTTGTAAAGCGACACCACGCGCCAACCGCCGATTTGCCTGTTCGAGACGCATATTGTCTGCGTTTTGTGCAACAATCGCATCAGTTGCCAAACGATGTTGAACCACTCGCTTCCAATTGCGCTCATGAGCAAAATCTGTCGCCAGCCACTTCATTTCTTCAAGCAGAAAGTCCCAGTGAGATTTTCCACGCAATGGTGTCGTCAATCGTGGCAATTGCCTCTTTCGAGTCACAGCCAATCCTCGCTTATGGATCTTACGTTGGAGACATACATATTCACGCAGTGTCGATTCAAAATCTGCATCTGTCGAGATTTTTGATACCAAATGGTTTTGGGACGAGACAGGAGGTTGTTTGACATCCATATCTTCTTTACTTGTATTTCGATTCGGAGAAGCCAACAAAGTAATTGGTTTCTTTTGAGAAAGATACTCGCGATTTGTGGCTTCCTCTTGCTGTTTCTTTTGAATGAAATACTTGGACGGTGGTGCAGACATTCTCACTACTCGAGATGTAGCTCCGTCTACATTATCTTCCGGTTGCTGAGCACCATCAATGGCAACTATAGTCGTTTCATCGTCATCTTTTTGGCAAATGCCGACTGCAGTCACATTTTGAATTACTGCTGTATTGATTTTTGTTTTCTTGTTAGCAGCAATGTCTTCTTCATGTTGATGAGAATCTTCAGCAAGTTTTCGCTTAGTCAGCATCGATTCATCTTTAGCAACATTCTCATTCAAAAAACACTCATTTTCTGTTTCTCTTGCCACTTTCTGCAATTCGTGACTTCTGTCTTCTGTTCGTTCTGACGCTTTCACTTCACTCTCTCCATGCGTTTTCTTGTCTATCTCTTTCTCTGCTAATCTATTATCATAATTTTCTCCCACATCCTGATCGTTAACGATCTTTTGTGCTGCCTTGCGCTCATCCACTAGCTGCCTAAACAAGCATTTTAATGTCAATCTTTTTAAATGACATTCGGCAACATGGTAGCAAACAATTACCGTAGAAGCGCTTCATTATATTCAGCAAGTCTTTCACGAATTGAGCAAAGGACAGCGGTACTGCTAATACTGTCATTCTTATACGACGCTTTCGTGGGTTCTAACTGATAAAATTTCAGCACAACAACAAAACTATTCAGTATCCTTCATACTTTTCAAAAGTCCATAAGTTCTGGGACGCTACATGCTGCATGCTTCCCCCTTCCAAGTAGCGCCACTACTGCATCTGAGCGTAGCTAAAGACACAAATACAATTGATGTCAGCTACCCTCATACTTATATCAGCAAATCAACCCAAGCCACGTGTCTAGGAATCGAGGTGGAAATTGAGTGTTAAATGATCTAAATTGCAGCAATCTGAGTCAATCACGGGCTCAAACGAAAGCAAATACATTGCTCTTTTGATTGCAATCATTCCCTCCTCGATCCATACACAAGATCTAATCCAAATCGCGAGCTAAAGTGCAGCAAAGCCTCTAGAGCGATTTGGAAGACGCTCGACACGCGCTTTGAGGGAGAATTCACTGGCAAATAGTATAAATAAACATATTGAGCGGATAAACTTACCAATTGATGGCGTATTGACCTCCTGAGGCGGCCTTTGTGCGATCACAAACGACTTTCACGTTCTCTCAGAGCCTTAGGGGCGACGGGACGGAGAGATTCCCGCGCGAAGGTATGTGATTGGTTTAAAACATTTTACGCTAAAGACAAGTGGTCGAAAATTATCCGACAAAAATTAGTAGATTAATTTTAGCGTGCATTATTATAAAAAAAGCAAGGTCTTCTCGTCCGTGTTTGATTGTCTCAATTGTTTTTGGCAGACTACATATGATAGCTTAACTAATAATTTCAATATAGGCGCGATGTTCCTGAGCTGCTGAATTCGGTCTATGTGGAGAAGGTAAGTCAATTCCACGCAATTGATTGAGATCTTGTTGATCAACGACCTTATATCGCTGTAGTTTATCATTTAAGTGCTGCCTTGATGTGTTTGAATTTGAAATTTTCAAGATGGTTAATCTCGTGTTTGTACATCGGTTAAAAAAGCTCAACTTGCATACGAAATTCGGAATACTAAAAGATGTCGCTTTTTATATTCTGCAAAGAACCGAAGATATATTTATATCTTGCTCCTGTATATTTATAAATTTTGAACTATGCTTGTAGAGAGGCTCTGATGAGTCAGTTAATTTCGTTATCATACATATCATTCGACTTCCATATGTCCGTGTCGCAAATGCACCCCAGACGTGTGGATATGATGCAACATAAATCTCTGCACGGAATGCTTGGCGTGTTATTAACGCTAGTGTTTGGAATATTGGCATTTGAGATAATATTTTTGTCTATGGATGGCAATTCAGTGAAGGGTCCGGATATTACTCAAGTCATTACTGCCGTCACAAAAACGTCTCTCAATACCTCGTTGAAAGGCTCTGACGCTTTCTACCCCGACATTATTTTTCATACAGATTGGAGTAAGTATATAAAAGAGAGTGATATTCTTCATCAGGCAGCATTGCATCAAGCCTGTGTTCAGTATTCAACGAGTGTAATTCCATGGACTTATGGCTTAGCCAAAGAGAACGAGAATTGGAATCGTATGCAACTCATTAATGAGTCGGATCCAGAATGGCTTCACAAGTTACGAAAGTGTCCTGATATTGACATTTTCTTACCCCAAGGACTGCGAAATTTCGGGTATTGCGAGGATGCTGCGGCTTATGCAAAATGTACGTCATATTTATATTACAGATATCACTAGATTTGCTCTTGAACTGACAAATCATGTCTTATTAAGTTTTAGAGTCACGAATGCTTCCGTACTGGGCGCTTGATCCAAGAAGAATTAACAACAACTCCATCACGTATCATGATTTATGTCCTCACACACCTGTAATTTTTTTTAATCATTATTCGGATGGTCTTCTTGACCTTCCAGACTGGCCAGCTTCGAAACCAGTCTATGTGATGCCTAATATTGAAATGTATGAGCTTGAAAGTGAAAATTACTGGAGAGCGGATGTGGTGCTTTGCAAGACAGCATTGTGTGCCAAGTATTTGAAAAAGTGGTACAAACAAGAGGGCAATCGAAGAGGCACAAAAGTATTTTACTCACGCCATACGACATCTAATGTAGCATTGGTGGCTAAGAGAAGATTGTTATTGAGTGAAAATGAAACAAGATCTGAAAAAAACTTTTCGAACGTCTCGTTTGTACACACTGTGGGTAGTAGTGCCAGTAAAGGAACAACGCAAGTGCTTGATTGCTGGCTAAGTCAAAGTTTTCTCCCACGCCTGGATGTTTACATCTCCCAGGACTATTATAATGATGGTTACAAAGCAAAGTATGAACAACGTATAAAGAAGAGCTCCAATATTTTCATACATACTGGACGACTGGAACCCGCAACGTTTGGACAGCTCCTTACAGAAGCAGCATATTACATGTGTCCAAGTCGACACGAAGGGTATGGTCACTATATCAACCAAGCACGATCCTCGCGTGCACTTATCGTGACGACTGATGTTGCTCCTATGAACGAGTTAATTACATCAACTTCTGGTGTATTGTTCAAAGCAAAGAAGAAGCCGCTCCAAAGTCAGTTTTTAAGTGGTATATCAAACAAAAAGCACGCATTGCGTGGCGTCGAGGGATATTATGCCGACTTTACATCCTCTGATGTATGCAAAGCTATGGCAAAAGTGCTCAACACAACGATAGATCAGCGTATCGAGCGTGCAGACAAAGCATTGCAGCAGTACTACTTTGATACAGTCTTTTTCGCGCACAAAATGAAGGAACTGCGCATGATTGCTCGTTCTCATAGCTCATACAGTTCCCACAACCAGTTGCGTTCTGGGCATATCGAGGCGAACGTTAAAATTCCTGAAGTGGAAAAGAATTAAGCACATGGCACTGAGGATGAATCGGACGAGCCGGATATACTTGGTGAATGACCAAAACGTTATCTTTATTGTGGTATTTTTGTGTCGTTGAAAGGTGATAACAACCGCGACATGCTGAGTCTACCAAAATTTGATAGCGAAGAAAATTTTGATGAAGTATTATCGAACGACGCGGTGCACAAGCATGATGGCGATAGATATATTTACTTATGAGCAATTATTATTATTTCTTGGTATTTTTAATTTAAAATCGCTCAAACCAACAGCTTCTTTTTAAAATGATTTTTATCATATTTGTGGCATTAAAATGAGCCTTTATAATAAAAGTTTTACATTAGTGGCCTAACTCACCTATTATTTTGTAAAGGGAATTACATTGTTTTAATTAGCGTTTGGGCTTTTTTACAGACTTGCCGATTCGTTGCTTTATTCGAGGATACCAGTGTCTAGACAATACAAAAAAAGACATGGGCAAATTTTTCCTCAGGAATTTGACATACCAAAGCTAACTTTGCGCCTTTGCGAAATTATCAAGTCGACCTCACTCCTGATCGCGATGTGCTGAGCAGTTGAATTGTGTCATTTGAATCAACATGACAAACAAATGTCTTGAAATTTTTTGACATTTCTTGAAGTCAGACGAGTCCCAAGAAGAGCGTACAGGAATAATTATACTAGAGACTTTTATATTTCATCGAATAGCTCCACACTACGTGTCATGTGGGTGGAGACGTCAGCTAGATCCTAGTTGCACTAAGAGTTGCGCCCGCTGTTGGGTAGAAGGTAAAAACCGGAGTGAATATATTTAGGTCTTTAGTTCGCTACTCTGTGTTGCCCCTAAGCCTGTCTTTCTAGATCCTTCTAGAAGCTTCTATAAGCATCCTGATTTATCTAGACCAATGAACGCCAACCATTATGTAATTTCTTACTGTGATGAGCTCGTAAATATGGTGACGTCATCTGCTTGTTCAACATGCATTCAGCAGTGTAATCTCAACACTCCCACTCACCGTAACGCTCGTGTGCTTTGTCGCTGACTTGACCTTGATTCCGGAGGCTTCGCGCAGATACTTTAGCATCTTGGTTCCAAGTGCCTTCGTCAGCGAATCTGCAAGCTGACTCTTCGTGTCAATATAGTCGATCTTCAACATTCCACCTTGCAAGTTCTCGCGAATAAAGTGGTGCTTGATGTCCACATGCTTCGTCCTAGCGTGGTATCCGGCATTATTGGCTAACGCGAACGCACCTTTTGATTGTCTATCCAAACCTGTGTTCCTTCCACTTCCTCGTGTCCCATGTCTCTTAGCATTGCCCGCGTCCAAAAAACTTCCTGCGTGCAGAGGCTGGAGCCATAAACTCAGCTTCCGCTGAACTTAGCGCAGCCATCCCGCTAAAATTTCGTATTGAATACTACTGGTGCGCTCGCAATCATGAGCATAACTCCCGAAATCGAACGTCTGTCATCGGTGTTGCTGCCCGAATCTGCATCCGAATATGCCTTGACTGCAACGCTCCCACTTCCTCGGTAGACGATCCCG